GTGCAGTGGCCCCTGGACCGCTTCCTCACCCACATTCCGGCATTCCCGCAGGGTCCAGCCGGCCTCAAGGGCGGGGAAGGGCCCCCCGGCCCCCCGGGCCCCACCGTGAGTATGGAGCATCCCGCCTCCCTCCGCTCCCTGTGCTCCCTGGGGTCCCAATCCCGAAGGATTCCCTGGAAAGGAGGAAGGATCCCAGCGTCCTCCCCCCCACAGGGCTCCCCCGGCGAGCGAGGCCCCACGGGAGCAGCCGGAGGCATCGGATTGCCGGGACGTGGGGGGGCGCAGGGCCCCCCCGGCCCCACGGGAGACAAGGGCGCTCCGGTAGGTGCCGTGTCCTCGGAGGGGGGCGGTCCGATCCGGAGCATTCGGGAATGACCGGGAATGAGGCGGCCCCCCTGCTGCAGGGCGACAGGGGTCCCGTGGGTCCCGCGGGACACGACGGCACCCAGGGGCCCGTGGGGCTGCCGGGCCCCCCCGGCCCCCCCGGCCCCTCCGGAGAGGACGGCGACAAGGTGAGCGGGAGCTGGGGGCACATTCCCACCGGTATTCCCGCCGCCGGGAATGCCGCYGGCAGCCGGTGCTGGCGGCTTTCCCGGGAATCACGGGATGCCTCCGGCAGGGCGAGCCGGGGCTGCCGGGGCAGAAGGGCAGCAAGGGCGACAAGGGCGAAGCGGTGAGTGCGGGGAGGGGGGGGACACGGGGGGGGGCACAAGGACCATTCCAACCCCGCTCCCCCCCCAGGGCCCGCCGGGACCGCCGGGAATGCAGGGACCACCGGGACACCCCGGTCCCGCGGTGAGTGACCTCGGCACGTGCTCCCCCTCCCACCCAAGGGAGCGGCCGGATGCAGGATCCGGGGGCAGGATCTGGATGCAGSATCCGGATTAAGGRTCTGGATTAAGGATCCGGGTGCAGGATCCAGGTGTAGGATCGGAATGCAGGATTCAGATGTAGGATCTGGATGTAGGATCCGGGTGCAGGATCCAGATGCAGGATCTAGATGTAGGGTCCAGATGCAAGATTCAGATGCAGGATCCGGATGCAGGATCCAGGTGCAGGATCCGGGTGCAGGATCCAGACGCAGGATCCAGATGCAGGATCCAGATACAGGATCCGGATGCAGGATCCAGATGCAGGATCCAGATGCAGGATCCAGATGCAGGATCC